AGCCTCATCAGCCATGGAGATATATGCGCATATATTTGACTACTAAACGCCTCCCGCGCATAGATTATGCTAATGAGGCTCCGGGCCGGCCCTCGGCCGGCTCGCCTCTGCGGTCTGGGCCGCTGGAGGACCGACTCCGGGTGACCCGGGCGGCCCGGGCGGGGGTCCCAGAGGCCCGGGGAGGAAGGGAGCCCCACACATAACCTCTGCACTGCTGTCTGCTGGCCTCGGGGCTCCGAGCCAGGGCAGCGGGCGCTGGGCCTTGCAGGCCCCGGAGACCTGGCTCCCCGCCAGTGGGACTGTAAGCCTGGCACCCGCACGGGAAGGCGCGTGTGACCCGTCGCCTGGGCCTCCAGGGATGCTGGGCTGTCGGGGCTAAAAGCTGCTAGCCCCACGCCGGACGGGTATTGGGGACCCTGCCCTTGAGGGCAGAGCAGACCGACCTGCCGGACTGTGAGCTAGAGAGTGAAGGGCTCACAACTGGGGGAGCTGTGTGCTCTGATGGCCCCACTCGCAGAGAGCGCCCGGGAGCCTTCCTGGAGGAGGCTGCCCTCCGCCCAGAGGGGAACCAATGGGCGTTTGCAAGGGACAAGCTGAGAAAGCTCCCAAAGCCGGGACAGGAGCACAGGTGGGGTAGCTTGGGGACGGCGCAGATGTGTCCCCTGCAGAGACACTGGGGTGCTTTGGGAAAGAGCCCAGCGTTGGGAGCAGACAGACGGCCCCTAAGTGGCTTTGGCGCCCGCCTGCCAGGTGACCCTAGGCTGGTAACTTCATTTCTCGGGGCCTCGCCCACCTCCTAGCATGCCCGATGCCTGGCAGGGTGGCCGGACGGAGCCCAGGCCTGCGGAGCAGCGAGCTCCAGGCTGATTCACAGGAGGGGCCGTGTCGGGCATCGGGCATCAGGCCATGGGGAGGCAGCCTGGCAGGTGTCCTCCTGGGGGTGGGGGTGCGGCTCTAGGTGGGGAGGCCTGGGTGGAAGGGTGCAGGGGCCTGCTCCCAAGAGGCTCTCAGACATCCAGGAGCCTGGGCAGGGGGGTGCCAGTGGGCAGAGTGCCTGCTGCCCTTGCAGTAAATGCTTCAAGTGGAGTAGGCGGGGATCCCAGAGACCACCCGCAGGCAGTGGGCTGGCCGGGAGGGGGCGCCATTGGACATTCCCTGCAGAGTAGATGGAAAGGGATGGACGATGGCGTGGAGGGAAGTGCTGAGCAGGAAGGAGGGGGGCCGGGCTGGGCCCCGCATCTGTGAAAATAATGCCTCTGGTCCCACAGCCAGCTCATCCCCACAGCGTGGATATGCCCCTTGGCAAGTCAGGAGCCTCTAGATTCCTGCAGACTCCGTCATCCCCCTGCAGCCTGCACTGCCTGTTCCTCCAGCAGGGAGGGCAGGTGCCCCCGGGGGCCTGTCCAGGGGTGGGGGCTGCTGGCCATGCGGGAAGGGCCAGGGGGACAAACATCTTTTCCTGTGTGTTTGGCCGGCTAATCCCCTTTCCTGGCAGCAGGCGCTCCAGTGCAGGCCGTGGCCTTCGGGGAGAGCCGGAAGTTGAGAGCCGGAAGTTCCGAGCTGTCACTGTGCTCTCAGGGAGCTAGTGAGAGGCTGGTCCAGGTCTCTGGCCTGTCCCCTCCTCCTGCACTGGGCGGTGTGCCCCTGCCTCCCCTCTAGCTTCTCCCCTCCTCCCTCCCAGCTTCTCCCTGCCTCCCCTCCTCCCTCCCAGCTTCTCCCCTGCCTCCCCTCCAGCTTCTCCCCTGCCTCCCTTCCTCCCCTCCAGCTTCTCAGAGGGTCCCCCCTTTCCCCCCGCCCCCCCATGGAGGAACACACGAGAAGGACAGCGAGGACCAGAGAGCCAGATTTTATTGAGGTCCGAAGAACAGGCCCGTGGCTCCCACGTGACTGAGTTCAGATTCTGAGTACAGAGTCAAGCTCCCAGCACCCACCCACCTAGGGATCCTTTAAGGATCACGGTGGAGACCCGCACTCGGCCCACTGCGAGCCCC